TTCCGGTTTCCATTTTCCTAAAGCATCTTATTGCCACTACGGGCGGAAGTGGTGTAGTGGCAAGTGGCACGCTCACCACGCGAGCGGTCCGGGGGTCAAATCCTGGGTCGTGAGTCGCCCGGGCCAACCAAGCCTTCCATCCCTCCGGGGTCGGTTAATTGGTACCAGACTTGTCTGGGAGGATAAAAAACACTGACTTGAACATCGGCTGGCCCCCGCAAGTCATTGTATAGGCCACATCGCATTCAAACGCCACTACGAATGTACAAATGGAAGTAGAATGCGTGCCGCATCCCAGAAGGAGGGATTGATCAACGGTGAATGCTTAATTCTTTACATTTACCTGTTGGCGCCGCACGCATTGCGCGCACAACACAGATCTGCGGCGAATTTCACAATGGTGCGGCGAAAAATTTTCAAATATGGCCTGATACACCACGAATATCTGACTTCTCCGCTAAACTTTATTCGCTCCATCATCGACGGCTTTCATCCTTGTTCTCTTCGTCAACAGTTATCCGCCTTTTTCCCGGTCTCCGGACGGCGGACCAAAATCTCGTAGGGGGGCGGAGAAGCGGGGGGCGGAGCGCCTACTTCGGTGCGTGCCCCGCCCACCAATAGCATTTGGCCCCCTTCCTTTCGCCGACCTCTACCCCTTTTTCACCGGTCTCTGGGACCTCTTGGAACCAAATTACGACACTTTTGGCAAACTCCGCCCACTTAGGTGCTGCTCTACCCACTAATAGCAGTTGAGCTCTTTTCCCTCACCAACCTCTAACCCCGTTTTCCCCTATCTCTAGGACTCTTGCAACCGAATTGCGACACTTTTGGCAAACTCCGCCCACTTTGGTCAAGCCCCGCCCACCGATGACAGTTGGCCTCCACTCCTCCATCCACCTCTATCCACCTTTTTCCGGCTCATTAAGGCTTCCCCGGCCCGAATTATGAGGACTTGTAGAAAATGCTGTACACTTCAGAGCGCGCTCCACCCATTGTGGGCGGACCTCCGCCCACGTCATATATGCTGGGAACACCTTAGACATTGCTCCCCTACACCAATTTGTTTTCTGCTCTGTAGGCTTTCTCCCAACCGAGTTATGAAATTTTTCATAAAGCACTGCTTTTTTGGAGAACGCCCCGCCCACCGGGGGTGGGTCTCCCTAATTCGATGTGACTTACCAATGCACACCTTTACCCACTTTTTGGCCCACTTCAAGGTCGTTTTCTAAGAGAATTGGAAATCTCGGTCGTCAATACACTTCATGTCGACGCACGCCACGCCCACTGTGGGCGGGGCTCCGCTTGGCTGATGTGTTGTACTTCGTAAGACCTTGCCCACCCGTCTCCCCACTTGACCCGGTCCCTCCAGGCGGATCCCGAGGAGCTGGGGAATTTCGTGACAGACATACAGACAGAACGACAGACGACAGACGAAGCGCTTTATAATAAAAAATAGGATGCTTTCTCCAGACCAGCCACCAACTTGGGACTTACCATTGCCTTTAGAGAGCTTGAAGCCACAAGCCGGGCAGAAGTCGTGTCAACGATTCCCTTCACCCTGTGGATCGATCTCTGGAGGGCAACAACAGATGTGGCATTCCTGTTCACGGAAATCACCCAACAAGAGCGCTGGGACCTTGCAAAGTAGCGCGCTCTACTGCAATTTTTTCTTTGATCAGGACGCTCTTGTGTGACGCTTTCTAGGGCTGCTTCTTTGCGGATACTTCTTGGTCAATTGCTCAATGTCTGCACTGCATTCTAGCGCAGCAGATTACGGAGTGGTATGCCCTCAAGACTAGGGATTTTCAAGGAGATTCATTTCATTTTTCATTCAACTGCCGACCCCATTCGCATCAATCATTCACATTCTTGTGCAAGAACCACACCAATTTGATCCTGGGGCATGACTTTGACTTATCTTACGCGCTGTTTGGCAGCGACAAAATTTTCCAAAAGTAGCCCGATAGCGCGCAAAAAAAAGACCAACTGGTTCATTCGGGAGCTGCGTACATATAATGTGAAGGAAAACTCCGCACTAACGAGAAACAGAACGAATGAGTTTTTGTCGGGGGAGGGACGAGTCTGCTAAGAAGAGTTTCGTCCATAAACCAAGCGAATTACAAAAACCCTTCCAAATGCAGCGTTTTTCAAACTGTCCACTCAAAACATGAAGACGGAAATAAAGGGGTGTGAAAGCGGGTGCACTGTCGGTAAAAGAGAAGGAACTTTGAGGGGGGATTCATAAAAGATGGGGTGGGTCAACAAAGCGTGAAACATGACAAATGAGGCACAAACTTCGTAGTACACATTGTCGAAGACCTTTACAAATTATAATCCGCGTCTCGAATGGGGAAGGTCAAATTGGACACGGAAGGATCTATTGCATCACCGTCGGGGGACGTGACTGAGCAGCATAGTTCACCAATAGGCTTTGCAGAAGTTCTCCTCAAGCTCACCTCCACCAACTACTATAATAGGAGTTTCGTTGGATAGCGTTTTGATGCCGCACATTCGAGTCCTTCTTTCCGATTCCAGTTGTTTTTCAGTCGTAGTCAGAACGAGATCCCCTTCCCCGTCCTCTTTCACCTGGAAAATGGGTTCAGAAATCAATGATTTTATTCACTTATGCATCAGATTGTGATCAATTCATTGAAGCATCCTCAAATAACCGGTAGCATATCGTCGCCTCATGTGAATTGGCAAAATGGGGAAACCGTCCCGTGCCTACAGAAACTGACATTACCTGGCAGAAGCGCCTACGCCATTTTTGGGATATTTGTTTTTTTCAAAGTATTATTGCAAGCAGGCCGATGAGGATGCGGGTGAAGACATTGTTGGATCATGAAACAATCCGTTTCTCGAACAGTATAAAGAACAGGACATTTGTACATCTTCTTTATATCTTAGAGCGGCTCAAGTGATACTTAAAAAAACCGGGTTTCCTTAGGAGATTCAAACAGAGCGGAAAGAATAGAGGGGACAGCTTAAAGCAGGACGACAGTACCACATTACCGGCGTCAAATAAACGGTTCACGGTTATTTTTCCGATCCTTGCTTGCGCCATCTCCCCTATGACCAGTTGCCGTGTCTAAAGTTCCGAGCATGTTAAAGCAAACCCCGGGTTCAGCCCGAAGGATATCGCGAGGGAAAATTGTGTAAAGGCGTCCCTACCTACCTAGATCACTCCAGCTTCGCCGCCCAAAAGTTGCGCGGTTAGGGCGCTAATCCTTACGGCCTGCAACCATCGACCCCGTTGCAACGCTTCCCACCCACCTCGATATCGGCATGCTCTCTCGAGCGGCGTCATCTCTGCATCTCGTCAGCGGCGTGTTCTATATTCTTTGAACGCCTTGCCTCGCCATCGTTCCACATCCAAACTTTTTGAAGGTTAAGAGCTCAATTCCAGCGATCGCACAGATATCTATAGCTTCCTTTGCCATTTTTTTTGCCCCCAAGACCGTCCCAGTCGAGTCAAATCAATGCAAAGCGCTCTTATCACCCGTTTTATTCGGGTGCCTTTAAATTCAGATTCAGAAAAATAAACAAACTGCTCGAAAAACACGGTGTGCCAAATGATTACAGGCGAGGGGGGTTGCACGGTGTGCTGCCAACGTGCATGGATACGAGATACGCTACGTAGCTTCAGAATCAATGCAGGCTGCAAGCTTTTTCCAGAACGGTATTTTGCATTGTATAGGGGCAAATGTAGGAACCACAGACCCATGGGTTAATTTTTCCTGAACGGCCCTCTAAATACCAGAAAGGGGTCCCTGGATCGATTCCTCGTGGTGACAAAATTTTGCATTTCGAGTTTCCCTTTGCCGAGAATTGCGGGGCGGCGAGAGGGAAGGGATCCTACTTTATGCAAGTATGCATTCGCAGAAGTGATGGCTAACTCCATTTTGCGCGGGATTTTGAAGCGTCAACTCGAAATGCAAAAATTTGTCACCACGAGGAATCGATCCAGGGACCCCCTTTTCTGGTATTTAGAGGGCCGTTCAGGAAAAAATTAACCATGGTTCTGTGGTTCCTACATGTGCCCCTATACAATGCAAAATACCGTTCTGAAAAAGCTTGGCACGCCCTGAAAGACCTTCCTGGTTAGCGATGCGCCATAGAAATAAATAAATTTAATCCTCAGGAATTTGAAGAATGGAGACAAACGGGTGGAACTTGGGCTTGGGAAGAGGTGCCACGCGGCACTCGGTCGTACCTCCTAGGCTTCGAAATACAGTAACACCCCGGACTAAGCCTCAGAGTGCAGACGAACAGAACGCCGATCGCGTGGCACCCACCAACCCGCGTTTCACCAATTAAACATCTTCGCGCGCTAGATTAGGATGCAGTAGGAGAGTGAACGCTGTTGCCATAGGTGAGTAGCCAAAAATTATCAAAGAAAATTAGGCAGCGCCCCAAGAAAACAAATGAAAACGCCATCCGCGTACAATTCTACAATTGCTATTATTTCCATGGGCGAATTCAAATAAATGACAATTTCTTTGGTTCTTCCAGTTATTTACCAAAACAAACACAACTTCTCCGCTCTGCTCGTTCCACTTATGGAAGATTATTCTCAAGCTACATATGAGTTATGAGGATCCTGTAGAAACATGCGGCCTTCTTGCAGGATTCCTCTAGAAGAGTAACGTCGACAGATCCATGTGTTTTCCGAGCAACAACATTGTTATCAACTCTTTTTGGTCAGAAGGCGATTTTATTTTTTCAAAATGAGATTCCGACACAGGCACAATTCAAAGTATACTCGGGTTCTACCCGGCGAAGTGGGATGGTGCTCTTTTAGAAGGGAGGCAACGCGTCCGCCGCTTATCCCCATCAAATTGGAAGCAATTATTCTGCATATTAAAGGACGAATTTACGATGGAAAAGCAACCCATTCCAAATTGAGGTAGAGATGGTGAGTAGTACCAGAAAGAAAGCGAAACCACGAAAAACGGCCCAGAACCGGAGAAATGGGACCCCTTCCTTGTCCGTTGATTTGAGCATTGATGGGACTCTCATCGCTTTGCCCTCTTCAACCCTACGCTCTCTCAGCTATCTAATCACTCGCCACCTATTGTACTACGGCGAGTGATCAGACGATCGGTGGGCGGAGATCGCCGAACTCGCCAACTTTGAGCCATGCTAGATCTCAGAGGTCAAATCTTTCGATGCCGATTGCGTGTCTGTCCGCACCCTCAAGAGATTCACCGCTCTCCCCACTAGGCGATTTCTCCCTTCTTCGACCTTCGTTCTTTCCGTGCAATCCTCCTTTAAGGAGTCAGTCAAAAGGCAACACATTCGTCTTGAAGAATAGAAGCGCTCCAAGCACACCGATGAACTTCAGAACTCCATTACGGGTCAGAAACCCATGCAATCCCTTTGCAAGTCTCCGTGCACGTCGAAGTCTCACATAAAAATGGCAATCGCCAAGGTCGGATAGTGTACTATTGAGCGAGCCCTACATAATGAGTGAGCCGCCTGCAGGGCGAAATTGTACGAAATATTCGTTAGTAACGCGCGCGATTTGGCAAGACTGCTTTATTCCACATGAGAGTTGCGTATTAGCTAACTCTAACCCCCCAAATTGGAAAACTGAAACAAATGAAAAGCATTAAATAAGTGTGAAAGACTCCACCTCGTAAGTGTGCAGGCTGTCGAAACTTGGATAATCCTCTATGTCACCGGTTTTAACATTGTAACATGATCCATGAAGTACACATCGAATTTTACCATGTGAATAGATACCTGAGAAGGATCTGTCATATCAAAGCATCCGAATCTCCAAACTAGTTTCTATGAAAACCTGAAAGACTACGATGGCAACTAGATGTCGAAAATTTATTATCATATTCAAAAATAATGATGACATTCAATTGATGGGATATAATTAACTGATACATCTTGAAAAAGGGTGGGACAACACTCAGTAAACTAGTCGCACCAGGTCACTCCAAGCTTTTCGATCGTTGCCGCCCCGTAGTCGGACATCGGGCAAACGTCGGCAAATTGAAGGATCAGCAGGACCCCAATCCGAAAACCACAGATACCGGCCCTCTCCCCTTCCCCCTTCAGCAATGTCTGGTGAATAATTGACCCTGCCGGTCCGATAGCACTACCATTCTTTCAGAATAGCTTTATAACTTTAAGAATTTTCCAGACGATACCCAGAACGTACTGTTCTCCAAATCAGCTTCCACATAATACGTTCTAATGAGTTCTCATATAGTTCCTTGGAAAAAGTTCCCTTTTTTCATAGCCTATGAGGTGAACTCAATCGGTTGTGAATTAAAGGCAAGCTTCGGGATAAAATGGGTGTGGAAAAGCGTTCAGTTATGAAGCTAGAGGTGGGAGGTGGTCTGGAAAAGGAAAAGAAAGCAAAGGAAACCACCGATTACGCCCGATAGGAACCTCCCCTATTTCAGCCGCATTCCACCTTGGGATAGAGAAGGGGCGCGTTGGACGAGTTTCACGAACCTACTCTAGTTGCTCCAGTGCCAATGACATTGGGTCGCAATGGGACCGCTGCCTCAAATGCGCCCGCGCTTTTCAAGCAGCGCCACGTGGCAACCGACAGCGGAGGGTGGGGCTTGCGGACGAAGGTGTGAGTTGCGGGTCGGACGAGCTTCTTGCCCTTTGTCGCGCACTTTCAAGCCGCAAAAGGGGCGCGACATCAACGCTTGTCCGCCTGTCTACTACCTCCGGGGATGGAACAGGTGAGCGTGCCT